CTCTCTCTCTCTCTCTCTACACACGGCAGTAGCGGTACACGCCCACACGCGCGTGCGGGCCTTCACAACATCCGTCGGTGCCGCCCTTTTCTGACCCGCCGATGCTCTCTTCCTACCTGCCGAGTGCCGACAGATCTACGCCAAGGCAGGCTGCAGCGGCAGACCGCACACAGGCCCAGCCAAACTAACAGCACATGTAGGCGCGAGTGTCCCGTATACCGCGTGTAGTGAGCGAGGCGTACACACCAGAGCAACGTACCCACGCCGCACATACATACATACATACAGGCTCGACATGCCTGTGTGTGGCTTCCCGCAAACGAGCTGTTAGCAAGAAGCAAGCGCAGTACGGACAGATGGGAATTTGCTCAAGTTCCACGCCCCCCCCCCCTCCAACCCGATCATCAGGGAACGAGTCAATGAAATCGATATATCGCAGTGGCATCGGCGAGCATTTTTTTCGCCTTAACTGGGACTAACAGCTGCGCGTGGACAACTGCTCAATACAAGCTCAGCCGGCCGGCGCGGTGACCTTATAACCCGTGCTGAACAACAGTCTCCGCATCTCTCCGCATCACATCTCTGCTATATAGCGCACACCCGTGTTTATCTGCACGAGATATTCTAGTGCGCGCGCTAGGGAGCCCGGCTTTTAAGTTTTTCAGCGTTTCTGCTGGTTTAAAATAAGAGGCGACGTTAGAGCTTTGTGGGGGCTAATGTTAGGCGTGCACACACAGAAAGCATGGTTCTGCGGAATACTGTTACATCGCACTCGCTGTACCATGTTGTTAGTTCACGTACAGTCGCTCCTCCTCCATAAAAAAATGCCCTATGAAGCAACTGCAGCAATTAATCAGCTTAAATTCGCGAGCATACTGAATAGGAATCCATAAGAGGGCAAAAAAACATTCGCCGTGGCAGCAAGGAGGGATATGATATGGAACAGACTGCCGCACGTGAAATAAACCTTCTTAAAAGTAACTAAAGATTAGAGTATAGGGGCAAGTGGAGTGCTGGTGCCATCTATCGTTGGAATGCAACAGCTAGTAAACTGCCCTCTGCAGCATTCATTGCATTCATGTAACCGAAGCCTCAATCACATTACGCACACATTCACAGACATCTCACTTACGCCAACAGACATCTGGCCCTATTTACTTAATTCCCAGTAAATGTTACTTCACTAGTATTCTAGTGATACCAGAACACATCATACTACTACAACACACACGGGTAGCATTTCATTGATAGCAGAAATCTCAGGACCGCCTGGTCCCGGATTGCATACACACGCAGTTTAGAGCGGGCTAACTTAGCACGCTTCAACGAGGCCGAGGGCCTAGCCCACCTCCATTTTCGAGCCAAGATAGACCGAACTAGCGCGTATTTAGCCCGGGATAGCGTGTACACACTGAAAAAAATTAGCGCGCGCCTATCCTGGACTAGTTTGATGTAGGATCAATTTTGCAGTCTGTACGGGGTAATAGATGGCGTTACTTACTATCTGTGCCTTCTCATTTAGCCAGATATAGATGGCGTTACTTACTATCTGCGCCTTCTCACTTAGTCAGATATAGATGGCGCTACTTAGCCGGCATTAGTTATAGATGGCGTTACTTACTATCTGTGCCTTCTCATTTAGCCAGATATAGATGGCGCTACTTAGACGGCATTAGTTATAGATGGCGTTACTTACTATCTGCGCCTTCTCGTTCTCGGTGAGTGCGGCGTCGCGTGTGTCGAGCGCATCTCTCAGCTCCTGCCAGCGATCCTGCAGCGTGGCAATCTTCTGCGTGAACTCGTCAGCCTGCGGGTGACCCTCGTTAACGAGCTGGTTGCCGATGGCGATGATGCTGAGGATGCGCGGCTCGTGGTTTTCCACCTCCCTGCGCAGGTTCTGTGCGAGGAGAAGATACATGTACGTGTGTCTATACATATACATACACATACACATACACATACACATATATATATACATATACATACACATACACATACACATAA